TGGCCATCTCCCCGGGGGGTGATTTCTCACTTTCTGTCTCTCCGTCTGTCTCTGTCTGTCTGGCGAGCACGCACATCCTATAGCAAAATCCTCTTCAAAAAAGAAAGAAAGAAAAAGCACGGCATATATACCCTATGGAATACTATTCAGCCATAAAAAAAAGACCCTGGCATTTGATAGAAAGTGGTCAAATATGGAAGATTTATTGCTATGTGAAGCAAGCCAGGCTATGAAAGAGAGACAGTGGCTCTCTGGGCTTGGACCTAGATGGTGACAATATGGCTAATGGCAGAAAGAAGGTTGGCATCGTTGGTAAATATGGAACCTGCTATGGTTCCTCCCTCCAGAAAATGGTGAAAAAAATTTAAATCCAGCCAGCATGCCAAGTACACCTGCTCCTTCTGTGGCAAAACTAAGATGAAGGGATGGGCTGTGGGGATCTGGCCCTGGTTCCTGCATGAACATGGTAGCCGGTGGTGCCTAGACCGACAACACCACTTGGGCTGTCACAGTGAAGTCTGCCATCAGGAGACTGAAGGAACTGAAAAACCAGTAGAAGCTCCATAGACATTTGGAATAGCACTAGCCTACAATAAATAGGCTAACTGATGTTAAAAAAAAAGGGGGGGGGAGAGACTGTATGTCCCCACTTAATCTATACTGACTGTCCACACTCTATGGTAGACACACTCTATGGTAAGACTGGAGGACATAAAAGCAGTGAAAATAGTTACAGACACTGGAGACAGTGTAAAAGGAGGGTGGGAGAGGGTAGGAGTACAGGGAAAGAAATCAGAGAGAAAAACTAGAGAAGGGCAATTGTGGGACATAGAAATGGTTTATTACCTGTTGATGATAACATGTATAGTATTCTCAACTGAACTGGTCTGAGGTGTATTTCATGTTGGGTAAAGTCTCTTTACAAGTCAAATGATATACAGCGATAGAACGTTTAAAGATAATAATAAAATGGAATTTTAAAGAAAAGTCATGACATGATGACACATTTTTGCATAGAAAGACATGTCATGATGTTTCTGACGACCAAACACAACATAATAAAAGGAAGACTTGGTGATGCGAGAGTCACTCACAGCCAGAAAGATGAGTTTCAACTTCAACCTCACACCTAACAAAACGGACTATTCAGGTTCCAGGGAGTGTTTGTATATGACACCAAAACAGAAAAACTGAACCTCATCAAAATTTAAAACCTTGGGGCTAGCAGCTGGCAGAATGACTATGTTGCTGGACTCCCACGTAGTCGACCGCGGTTCGAGTCCCAGACCCGGTGGCTTAAACTCACGCTGGGAGCCGGGAGCGTGCGTGCCCAAGATCCCGAGAGGAGAATGGAGGAGTAGGGATTGCGGCGTGACCATCCCCTGGGCGGGGGGTGGGGGGGTGATTTCTCCCTTCCTGTCTCTGGTGAGCGCACGCGCCCTATAGCAAAAACCTCTCAAAAAAAAAAAATTAAACCTTTTCTCTACAAAAGAGTCTGGTAAGAAGAAGAAAAATTAAGCCACAGAATGGGAGAAAATATTGCAAACCACATATGTAATTAGCATCCAGGTTATATTTAAAAACTCTCAAAACTCAGGACCAGCAGATGGTATAATGATTATGTAGGTAACTGTGGTTTGAGTCCCAAACCTGGTGACTTGGAGCTCACGCTGGGTATGTGTGCATACGTGCCCAAGCTGGATATGTGTGCATACGTGCCCAAAATCCTGAGATCAGACTAGAGAATAAGGAATTGTGACATGGCCATACCCCCTGGGAGGATGATTTCTCACTTTCTACCTCTTCGTCTCTGTCTCTCCAGCAAGCACACATATACAGCAAAAAAGAAAACAACAACTTAAAAAAAAAAAAACTCTCAAAACTCAACAGTAAAAATATAAACAATCCAATTAGAAAATGGGCAAAAGATATTAACAGACATTTCAGTTAAGAGATACAGACAGTAAATAAACGCAGGAAAAGGTATTTAACCTTATTAGCCATCTAATAAATACGAATTTCAATCACAATGAGATACCATTATATATCAGTTAGGAGGGCTGAAATAAAAATGGTGACAAGGATGTGGAGGAAATGGAGTGTGGGACAACTCCTTGTAAAGCTAGACACACATTACCATATGACCCAGCAACGGCATGCTGGGCACTTACTAGACCAGTAAAACAGCTGATCACACAAGAACCTAAACATCAATACTCACAGTTGCCATATTCGTAATAGTCAAGAACAGTCAAAACTCGGGAACCAGCAGTTAGCGTAATGGCTATGTCGCTGGACTCCCACGTAGTCGACCGCGGTTCGCTTCCCAGACCCGGTGGCTTAAAACTCACACCAGGCGCGTGTGCGTGTGTGCCCAAGATCCCGAGAGGAGAATGGAGGAGAAGGGATTGCGGCGTGACCATCCCCCTGGGGGGTGATTTCTCACTTTCTGTCTCTGTCTCTCTGTCTGGCGAGTGCACACGCCCTAAAGCGAAAATCTCTCAAAAAAAAAAAAAGAACAGTCAAAACTCAAATGCCCTTCAGTAGATGGATGCATGAACAAAGGAATACTACCCAGTAACAAAAAGGAATGAACTGCTGATGTGTGTAGTAAGGTAGATGGATCCAAGGACAATGCAGTGAGTGAAGAAAGGCATTCTTCCAACACCCTGGGAACAGCACAGCCACAGAGGTAGGCAGAACAGTGGTTGGCAGGAGAGTGGCAGCGGACAGGTAAGACTACAAAGGGGCAGCACTAGGCAGTAAGTTCCTTCGCTATGGTGCCACAGTTATGTGTTCTGTTTATGGGAGTTGTTACACAAATTTATACACGGGTCAAACTACAAATACACACACGCGTGTGCATTTAAAACTGTGAACTTGAACAAGGGTTACAGTCCCCCAGGCTGCACCTTACCAATCTGGCTGGAAACTCTACACGACACCTCCATAGCACGTCCCACTGAAGAGCAGGAAGGAGGGACAGAAGGGTTCTCTGTATTACATGTTTTTGAAACTTCTTACAGTTACATTTTCTCATAGTAAACATTTTTCTAATTACAGAAAATATGAACATATGAAATAGAAAACAAAGGGTAAAACTCCTATAATTCCAAGACTGGATTGGATGATCTCTCCTAACATTCGGTTCGTATTTATTTCTAACTAATTTTTCTTTTTTTAATAAAAAAAATTGTATTTACTTAGAAGCATTCAGAATGTCAACAAAACAGCTGCAATTTTTTTTTTTTTTCCAATTGCAGAGTGGTATTCAGTTAACAGAACAATTATTTTGTACAAGCTGCATCAGAGACAAGTGAGGATGAAAAAAATTACCATCCCCATATATAACTAATTTGTGCTGTGCACCAACAAGAACCTGCTTTAAATTTCCATGCCAATTTACAACCCCCGTACTGTCCCAGGCAAGGTTAGTGGCTATTGAAAATACCACCAGGACAGAGCTATCTAAAGACACATTTACAAAAAGGACACTGTACAGTTGACAAACAAACCTTACACGGCCTTACATTTCCATTCTCTTCTTTAAAAGGAGTGAGTTGTGTACAGGGGGGATAAACGCTTTATACACAAGGAAAAAAAAAACTGCTAGAACCAACTTATTCATCATCATCGTCTTCATCTTTATCTTCCCCTCCCTCCTCCTCTTCCTTTTTCTTGCTCTTTTTTAAAATTTTATTTACTTAATTATTGGAGAGGTTTTTGCTATAGGGCACATGCACTCGTCAGAAAGACAGAGAGACACAGAAAGTGAGACAGAGAGACAGAAAGCAAGAAATCACCCCCCAGGGGGATAGTCACGCCACAATCCTTTCTCCTCCTTTCTCCTCTCAGAATTTTGTGCACGCATGCACATGCACCCGGCATGAGTTCAAGCCACCAGGTCCGGGACTCGAACTGCAGTGGACTACATGGGAGTCCAGAGACATAGCCATTACGCTAACTGCTGGTCCCATCTCTTTTCCGCCTTGACAATTCCCTTTTTGCTGCATCAGCCTTTCCTTTAGCTCAGGATGCAGTGATGTCCTTTCCATATTTTTCTTTCTGTTTAGCAGCTTTCTTTTCATAGGCTGTTTATCATCTGCAGCAGTGCTATTCCACATCTCTCCCAGTTTCTTTGCAACATCACCAGCGGATAGGCCAGGGTGTTCTCCTTTGATTTTGGGGCGATATCCAGAACAGAACAAGAAAAGGGCCGAAGGAGGCCTCTTGGGTGCATTGGGCCCCTCGAACTTCTTGTTTCCCATTCACAATGGGCCTGGTCCGCCTTTGCCACATTTTCAAACTTTCCTCTCTCTTTAGCAGACATGGTCTTCCACTTCTCTGAGCACATCTTAGAAAACTCTGAGACGTTGACTGGAGCCTCTGGGTGCTTCTTCTTGTGCTCCTCCCGGCAAGTTTGCACAAAGAATGCATATCATGACATCCTGCCTCTTGGCTTCTTGGAGTCTTCTTTGCCCATGTTTAGTTATCTTTCCTCTGCGAGCCACAGGGTCGCCCAGTGCCCGTCCGGCTCTCACTTGCCCTGGTGCTGTCTCTATGGAGCTCAACGTAATGCCTATTTCTAGCTACTTTTTCTAAGGATAGCGTTTTAGGGGACTTTCAAGGATAGAGGTTAAAGGCAGTGAAATAATTGCAGTTTAGCATCCCTTTCCACTTCACCTTCTAACAATACATAACCCAACATGAGGTTTGCCAAAGTGAGAACCCTTTACAGCCAAACTTCAACGGCTGTTCAATCGGCCCCTTGTAACCCCCGTCCCCTCCATTTTCCTTGTAGGATCTTGGACGGTACGCATTTGTACCCAGTGAGATTTGCAGGCCAATGAATCCAAGACTCTAACCGCACAGCCAGCCATGTGGGATCCGTCTGCCTTAACCCCACACCACCTGCTGGCCCCAGAAGAATTTTTAAAGACTCCTGAGAGTGCTAAGTGTCTGCAGCCAGTCATTCCTATGCACGAACGCAAACGTCTCACCTTTTCTCTGGTTACAGCTGGTTTTAGAGGCCCAACTAAGCCGCAGACTTTGGTAATTCGTATCTTCATCACAAACCAGTGTTCTGGTCAAACAAAAATCTATAACTGTCATTCATAAAAAAAGAAATGAGTCGTCATGCTAACAAGACACTGCTATGCAATACATGTAACGCATGTGGCAAACAGTACTTCATATTGTTAGCACCCATGCACAACCAGAAACATCTGGAAACTGTCATCCATTCCAGCTGCCCTGGGCAGGGATGCTGTGGTCAATTTCCTCCTTGATGAGGACTGAGGCCTTTGGGTGCAGAGAATGCATAACCTCTAGGACCTGGTGAGCCCTCAGAAGGGCCTACTGGGGTGCACCCACAGAGTAGCCTCACCTAGAGGAGCCTCACAACAGCCTACAGAAGTATGGCTAATAAATGGCACCAACATGGTTCAGGTCCTGGGTCTGCTCTTGTATGAACGCATCTCTGTGCGCACGTCTGTGTGGGCACGTGTGTGTCTGTCTGTGCGTGTCTGGGTATGTCTGTGTGTGCATCTCTGGGTGTGGCTACGAGCCCATGTCTGTGTCTGTGGGTATGGCTGTATGTGCCCACATGTTGTGTGTGTATGTGTGCGTGGGTGTGGCTGCGAGCCCACATGTCTGTGTATGTGGGTATGGCTGTATGTGCCCACATGCTGTGTGTGTGTGTATGTGTGTGTGTGACTGTGAGCCCACATGTCTGTCTATGTGGGTATGGCTGTATGTGCCCACATGCTGTGTGTGTGTGTATGTGTGTGTGTGTCTGTGAGTACACATGTCTGTCTGTGTGGGTATGGCTGGATGTGCCCACATGCTGTGTGTATGTATGTGTGTGTGTGACTGTGAGCCCACATGTCTGTCTATGTGGGTATGGCTGTATGTGCCCACATGCTGTGTGTGTGTGTATGTGTGTGTGTGACTGTGAGCCCACATGTCTGTCTATGTGGGTATGGCTGTATGTGCCCACATGCTGTGTGTGTGTGTATGTGTGTGTGTGACTGTGAGCCCACATGTCTGTCTATGTGGGTATGGCTGTATGTGCCCACATGCTGTGTGTGTGTGTATGTGTGTGTGTGACTGTGAGCCCACATGTCTGTCTATGTGGGTATGGCTGTATGTGCCCACATGCTGTGTGTGTGTGTATGTGTGTGTGTGACTGTGAGCCCACATGTCTGTCTATGTGGGTATGGCTGTATGTGCCCACATGCTGTGTGTGTGTGTATGTGTGTGTGTGACTGTGAGCCCACATGTCTGTCTATGTGGGTATGGCTGTATGTGCCCACATGCTGTGTGTGTGTGTATGTGTGTGTGTGACTGTGAGCCCACATGTCTGTCTATGTGGGTATGGCTGTATGTGCCCACATGCTGTGTGTGTGTGTATGTGTGTGTGTGACTGTGAGCCCACATGTCTGTCTACTGTATGTGCCCACGTGCTGTGTGTGTGTGTGTGTGTGTGTGTCTGTCTGTCTGTCTGTCTGTCTGTGTGGGTATGGCTGGATATGCCCACATGCTGTGTGTGTGTGTGCGTCTGTGAGCCCACATGTCTGTCTGTGTGAGTACGGCTGTATGTGCCCACGTGCTGTGTGTGTGTGTGTGTGTGTGTCTGTCTGTCTGTCTGTCTGTCTGTGTGGGTATGGCTGGATATGCCCACATGCTGTGTGTGTGTGTGCGTCTGTGAGCCCACATGTCTGTCTGTGTGAGTACGGCTGTATGTGCCCACGTGCTGTGTGTGTGTGTGTGTGTGTGTCTGTCTGTCTGTCTGTCTGTCTGTGTGGGTATGGCTGGATATGCCCACATGCTGTGTGTGTGTGTGCGTCTGTGAGCCCACATGTCTGTCTGTGTGAGTACGGCTGTATGTGCCCACGTGCTGTGTGTGTGTGTGTGTGTGTGTCTGTCTGTCTGTCTGTCTGTCTGTGTGGGTATGGCTGGATATGCCCACATGCTGTGTGTGTGTGTGCGTCTGTGAGCCCACATGTCTGTCTGTGTGAGTACGGCTGTATGTGCCCACGTGCTGTGTGTGTGTGTGTGTGTGTGTCTGTCTGTCTGTCTGTCTGTCTGTGTGGGTATGGCTGGATATGCCCACATGCTGTGTGTGTGTGTGCGTCTGTGAGCCCACATGTCTGTCTGTGTGAGTACGGCTGTATGTGCCCACGTGCTGTGTGTGTGTGTGTGTGTGTGTCTGTCTGTCTGTCTGTCTGTCTGTGTGGGTATGGCTGGATATGCCCACATGCTGTGTGTGTGTGTGCGTCTGTGAGCCCACATGTCTGTCTGTGTGAGTACGGCTGTATGTGCCCACGTGCTGTGTGTGTGTGTGTGTGTGTGTCTGTCTGTCTGTCTGTCTGTCTGTGTGGGTATGGCTGGATATGCCCACATGCTGTGTGTGTGTGTGCGTCTGTGAGCCCACATGTCTGTCTGTGTGAGTACGGCTGTATGTGCCCACGTGCTGTGTGTGTGTGTGTGTGTGTGTCTGTCTGTCTGTCTGTCTGTCTGTGTGGGTATGGCTGGATATGCCCACATGCTGTGTGTGTGTGTGCGTCTGTGAGCCCACATGTCTGTCTGTGTGAGTACGGCTGTATGTGCCCACGTGCTGTGTGTGTGTGTGTGTGTGTGTCTGTCTGTCTGTCTGTCTGTCTGTGTGGGTATGGCTGGATATGCCCACATGCTGTGTGTGTGTGTGCGTCTGTGAGCCCACATGTCTGTCTGTGTGAGTACGGCTGTATGTGCCCACGTGCTGTGTGTGTGTGTGTGTGTGTGTCTGTCTGTCTGTCTGTCTGTCTGTGTGGGTATGGCTGGATATGCCCACATGCTGTGTGTGTGTGTGCGTCTGTGAGCCCACATGTCTGTCTGTGTGAGTACGGCTGTATGTGCCCACGTGCTGTGTGTGTGTGTGTGTGTGTGTCTGTCTGTCTGTCTGTCTGTCTGTGTGGGTATGGCTGGATATGCCCACATGCTGTGTGTGTGTGTGCGTCTGTGAGCCCACATGTCTGTCTGTGTGAGTACGGCTGTATGTGCCCACGTGCTGTGTGTGTGTGTGTGTGTGTGTCTGTCTGTCTGTCTGTCTGTCTGTGTGGGTATGGCTGGATATGCCCACATGCTGTGTGTGTGTGTGCGTCTGTGAGCCCACATGTCTGTCTGTGTGAGTACGGCTGTATGTGCCCACGTGCTGTGTGTGTGTGTGTGTGTGTGTCTGTCTGTCTGTCTGTCTGTCTGTGTGGGTATGGCTGGATATGCCCACATGCTGTGTGTGTGTGTGCGTCTGTGAGCCCACATGTCTGTCTGTGTGAGTACGGCTGTATGTGCCCACGTGCTGTGTGTGTGTGTGTGTGTGTGTCTGTCTGTCTGTCTGTCTGTCTGTGTGGGTATGGCTGGATATGCCCACATGCTGTGTGTGTGTGTGCGTCTGTGAGCCCACATGTCTGTCTGTGTGAGTACGGCTGTATGTGCCCACGTGCTGTGTGTGTGTGTGTGTGTGTGTCTGTCTGTCTGTCTGTCTGTCTGTGTGGGTATGGCTGGATATGCCCACATGCTGTGTGTGTGTGTGCGTCTGTGAGCCCACATGTCTGTCTGTGTGAGTACGGCTGTATGTGCCCACGTGCTGTGTGTGTGTGTGTGTGTGTGTCTGTCTGTCTGTCTGTCTGTCTGTGTGGGTATGGCTGGATATGCCCACATGCTGTGTGTGTGTGTGCGTCTGTGAGCCCACATGTCTGTCTGTGTGAGTACGGCTGTATGTGCCCACGTGCTGTGTGTGTGTGTGTGTGTGTGTCTGTCTGTCTGTCTGTCTGTCTGTGTGGGTATGGCTGGATATGCCCACATGCTGTGTGTGTGTGTGCGTCTGTGAGCCCACATGTCTGTCTGTGTGAGTACGGCTGTATGTGCCCACGTGCTGTGTGTGTGTGTGTGTGTGTGTCTGTCTGTCTGTCTGTCTGTCTGTGTGGGTATGGCTGGATATGCCCACATGCTGTGTGTGTGTGTGCGTCTGTGAGCCCACATGTCTGTCTGTGTGAGTACGGCTGTATGTGCCCACGTGCTGTGTGTGTGTGTGTGTGTGTGTCTGTCTGTCTGTCTGTCTGTCTGTGTGGGTATGGCTGGATATGCCCACATGCTGTGTGTGTGTGTGCGTCTGTGAGCCCACATGTCTGTCTGTGTGAGTACGGCTGTATGTGCCCACGTGCTGTGTGTGTGTGTGTGTGTGTGTCTGTCTGTCTGTCTGTCTGTCTGTGTGGGTATGGCTGGATATGCCCACATGCTGTGTGTGTGTGTGCGTCTGTGAGCCCACATGTCTGTCTGTGTGAGTACGGCTGTATGTGCCCACGTGCTGTGTGTGTGTGTGTGTGTGTGTCTGTCTGTCTGTCTGTCTGTCTGTGTGGGTATGGCTGGATATGCCCACATGCTGTGTGTGTGTGTGCGTCTGTGAGCCCACATGTCTGTCTGTGTGAGTACGGCTGTATGTGCCCACGTGCTGTGTGTGTGTGTGTGTGTGTGTCTGTCTGTCTGTCTGTCTGTCTGTGTGGGTATGGCTGGATATGCCCACATGCTGTGTGTGTGTGTGCGTCTGTGAGCCCACATGTCTGTCTGTGTGAGTACGGCTGTATGTGCCCACGTGCTGTGTGTGTGTGTGTGTGTGTGTCTGTCTGTCTGTCTGTCTGTCTGTGTGGGTATGGCTGGATGTGCCCACGTGCTGTGTAAGTGGGTGCGTGTGTGTGGCTGTGAGCCTACACGTCTGTCTGTGTGGGTATGGCTGGATGTGTCCACATGTGTATGTGCGTGGGTGTGGCTGTGAGTCCACACGTCTGTCTGTGTGGGTATGGCTGGATATGCCCACATGCTCTGTGTGTGTGTGTGTGTGTGTGTGTGTGCGCGTGTCTGTCTGTGTGGGTATGGCTGGGGGTGGGCCCATGTTTTGG